ATGTTCTAAACAACAAGGAAACTTTGAGAAGTGCTGCCTCTGTCTATTACCTTAATTGTGGTGATGGCATCACAGGTATAACATGTATGTCCAAACTCATCAAATTGTATACATTAAATATGAACAGTTCTTTGTATATCAATCGAAACTCAATAAATCTGTTTGTTTTTTTTTTTTTCAAAAAAAGGGGGGGTTGAAATTATCCAATCTGTTCACAAAACATGGAATTAGAGAGATGTAGCTGGATTTTTCAGCCCTGGAAGCTTGTTGATGTCAAGTTCCCAAAGCCATACTAATTCCTATTGAGCAAACAGAAGGAAAAAGTATCCGTCTTAACTTAAACCTTCCATAAGGGAAGAGGGCACAACACACGGCATTTTATCCTTCCCAAATGTGAGGAATACATTAGATTATTTGACTCTAGCTTCAGTACTTTAGAATGCTAAGAAAGGCTGACCTTTTCAAAGCAAAAAGCTGTGCTCAGCTCTTCTCGGTCACGGTGTCATCAGTCTCTTGTGCCCACATATCCCCTAGCCTTGTCCTCCTAAGTGATTTCCTTCTATCTAATATCTGCAGGTCCAGAGCCTGATGGTTCAGATAAACTATATGTTAAGTCTTGGTAGCTATATTACTGCTTTGTGAGAAGGTCAAGTAGTCCTTTGAAAAATCTGAAGGACACAACAATATTACTAATGCACATGTTTAGAGTTTAGAGAGGACTGCAAGACAAAATTCCTTGGCATTCACACAATAACCTTCCAAAATTTACCCAAATCTTACTTCTTTGGATTCATCATCCATTTCCCCATTTCCCTTCTCCATCCACAGGCACATACTCAATATTCAGTCTTTTTTTTTTTTTTTTTTTTTTTTTGAGACAGGGTCTCACTCTGTTGCCCAGGCTAGAGTACAGTGGCATGATCACAGTTCACTGCAGCCTCCTTCTTCCAGGTTCAAGTGATCCTCCCACCTCAACCTCCTGAGTATCTGAGACTACAGGTGTGCACCACCACATCCTGCTGATTTTTTTTTAACTTTTAGGAGAGATGAGGTCTTGCTATGTTGCCCAAGCTGGTCTCAATCTCCTGAGCTCAAGCAATCCCCTCACCTCAGCCTCCCAAAGTGCTGAGATTACAAGTGTGAGCCACTGCGCCTATTCAGTCTTCATTGAGTGCATGCCTGTGCACACGCAGTTCCCTCTGTCCTTTCTTACCTTCTCTGATGGAAAACACAATCACCTTTCAGGACAGTTCAGCTTTTCAGTAAAACAGCTTCCAACAACTTTAGGGAAATTGTCACTTCCTCTTCTGTGCTTTTATAAGTCTTTGTTCATACCCTATTATAATACCTATCATATTATACTGTAATTATGCATTAAATTTCAAGGCATTGATTATGTCTCAATTATCCAATGATTAATACAGCCCCTGGCAGATAGTATTCAATGCATTTTTTGAGTGAACAAAAAAACCAGATTTATTGAGTTTCGATTGATATACAAAGAACTGTTCATATTTAATGTATAGAATTTGATGAGTTTGGACATACATGTTATACCTGTGATGCCATCACCACAATTAAGGTAATAGACATTTTTTGAGCAACCACTGTCTAAAATGTTTGCTTTATTTTTCTGTAAAACTGGTTTAATAATGTAGTTGCCTTGGTATGACAATTTATTCTATAAATAAGTGTAAGAGGAAGAAGAACAAGAAAGTGGTAATTGCATTACTCCTAGAAGGCTGTCAATTACATCAAACTTACCCAAAGTGGGAAAAATCTCCAAATCAGAATATTTAGCATGGCTTTATAATAACAATGCAAAATGTGTTTATAAAACCATTTGTGTATGCAGAAGATTGAAACTGGACCCCTTCCTTACACTATATACAAAAATTAACTCAAGGTGGATTAAAGACCCAAACTACAAAAACCCTACAAGACTCCATTGGCAATACCATTATAGACATAGGAATGAGCAAAGGTTTCATGATGAAGACACTAAAAGCAATGACAACAAAAGCAAAAATTAACAAATGAGATCTACTTAAACTAAAGAGTTTCTGCACAGCAAAAGAAACTATCAACAGAGTAAACAGACAACCTACAGAATGAGAGAAAATTTTTGCAAACTATGCATCTGAGAAAGGCCTAATATCCAGCATCTATAAGGAATGTAAACAAATTTACAAGAACCAAGCAACCCCATTAAAAAGTGGGTAAAGGACATGAACAGACATTTTTCAAAAGAAGACATACATGTGGCCAACAAGCATATGGAAAAAAGCTCAACATCACTGCTCATCAGAGAAACGCAAATCAAAACCGTAATGAGATACCATCTCACACCAGTCAGAATCACTGTTATGAAAAAGCCAAAAAATAACAGGTGTGGGTGAGGTTGTGGAGAAAAAGGAACACTTATACACTGTTAGTGGGTGTGTAAATTAGTTCAACAATTGTGGAAAACAGTGTGGTGGTTCCTCAAAGACTAAAAACAGAACTAAAATTTGATCCAGCAATCCCATTACTGGGTATATACTCAAATGAATATAAATCATTCTATAATAAAGACATATGCATGTGTATGTTCACTGCAGCACTATTCACAATAGCAAAGACATGCAATCAACCTAAATGCCCAACAGTAGTAGACTGGATAAAGAGTATGTGGTGCACATATACTATGGAATACTAGGCAGCCATAAAAAAGAACAAGATGGAGCTAGAGGCCACTATCCTTAGCAAACCAACATAGGAACAGAAAACCAAGTATCTCATGGTCTCACTCATAATTGGGAGCTAAAAGATGAGAACGCACGGACACAAAGAAGGGAACCACAGACACTGGGGCTTACTGAAGGATGGAGAGTGGAAGGAGGGGGAGGATCAGGAAAAATAACTAATGGGCACTAAGCTTAATACCTGGGTCATGATATAATTAGTATAACAAACCTACACAACATGAGTTTACCTATATAACAGGCCTGTACATGTACCTCCGAACTTAAAAGTTAGAAAATAAAAATCCATTTGTGGTTGGGTATGGTGGCTCATGCCTGTAATCCCAGCACTTTGGGAGTGAGAGGTGGGAGGACTGCTTGAGCCAAGGACAGCCTGGGCAATTTAGCTAGACCCTGCCTCTAGAAAAAATTTAAAAATTAGCTGGTTGCGGTGCTGTGTGCCTATAGCCCCAATTACTCAGGAGGCTGAGGTGGAAGGATTGCTTGAGCCCAGAAAGTTGAGGCTGCCATGTCCATGCCACTGCACCACTCCAGTCTGAGAGATAGAGTAAGACCCCATCTCAAAGAAAAAAGAAAAACCATTTGTATTTCCAATTCTTCTTCTCAACAGAGTATAACAGAAAAATGATACACAAACATCACATGTAGAGTTTACATCAGAAGAGGTCTTTAAAAAGATCAAGACAACAGATTTTTACAGTTAAAAGAGACCTCTTGGTTATCTAGTTCAACCTTCATCTATGTATGAATCTCCATAGGACACCTGATAAATGCTTATCTACCTTCTACTTGAATATTCTCAGTGATGGAGAAATCATTATTTGAGAAGGTACTTGATTCCTTATTTTGACAATTATAATGTCCAGTTTAAGCCCTATGAACCCAGCCCTTCCTTCTTAAACCACAGAGAATACTCCTTCCTTATGGTAACCCTATAACTAAACACAGCTATAAAGTCATCCCATCTTTCTTTCCTCAGACTTTTCTAATTTCATTCAACTACTTCTCATGTTATAGTTTTCAACATTTTCACCAAACTGATTGATATCCTCAATATATGTTCCCATTTGTCTCTACTACTTCTAAAATGGAGCCTGGAGCAACACTCTAAGTGAGGTTTACCCAGAGCAGAGAATTTCCTAGGGAAGGACTAGTATATATCTCTCATTATAAACTCCATATGGTTACTATTCAAATTTGTACCGGCTCTTACCTAAGGTAGAGTCAAACCTTGACAATGGCTAGTAGGAAAAGGATGACATGAAGCCAGAATGGGACCAGAGCTGAGAGAGCAGATCCCACTCTGTAACCGGATCTTTGGTGGGAAAGCAAAGCTGTCTAAAGGAGTCCTAGATATATCAAAGACATTCAACGTGTTTTGATAGGTGGACCAGGCAATTATTGCTGGAGCAATATTTGAAGTCAGACATGTAGCAGCATCACGCCCCATTAGGTTTTGGAGCAGGCTCTCATCATCCCTTAGGGAACATGAGAATAAAGACTTAACTCCTGGGGGAAAATGCTGCAATGAGTTTTTGCTGTGATTTCAGATGACTTTGCAAATTAAAGTCAAGACTGGAGTTCAAAGAAGGGCTATATTTTTAGGCAGAAACTGAGGTAGTAAGAATCGGGTGTCATAAAGACCTTTGTTGAATTCCATTTTTTCTGCTTTCCAAGCCTAAGTTTCCTCATGTAAAAATGGGGATAAGTACCTACTTTAGTACTTTAAGTACTAACTTTAAAGGACTGCTGTGAAGATCTAGTGGGATAATGTATGTAATTAGGCATGCAGTTAGTGCTTATCAAATGTTGTTATTACAGATTAAGATGCACAAATAAAATATAACTTAAATAAATTTTAAAATAATTTCACTTTTGAAGCTTTTAAAGTAATTATGTACCAAGAGAATTTTCTCCAATTATTTTTAACAATTCCTTTAAGAAAAGGGCTACATCTTTTTGAAAGATGACCAGAAGTGACATGGATTGGTTGAAAATGGCTTGTAAAATAAGCATAACATCTATGATTTATTATCATAAAATTGTACCAACAGTATGGTTATAACAAATATACTTATTTTTGGATTTTATTTTCAAGTAAGATAATGACTTTATCATATATCTTTGAAATCAGTCTTTTCACAGTTTAAATTCAGATTCATTAATCCAGGTAGAATTTTTCTAGGTGGCATAATTCTGTATTTGTTAAAAGTCTTTGCATAAGCCCCTTTTCAAGCCAAATGCTGTTTTCCTTTTAGTATCCAACTAACCAAAACTTAAGAAGAGTGTGCACCGCCCTGTGGGTGTGTGTATGTGCTGCTTTGAACCTATAGGTGAGATCCAGAGAATTGGGAGTGACATCATCTGTAACAATAAAAGAGCCTCTCTTGGCAAGTAGAAGATCTATATATAAAAGTCACATTTAAGGGTCTGCAGTCCAATTCATCAGTTGTCTTTAGTTTACTCAACATCAGCTCCTAATATACCTGAAAGAAGATTTTGTTCTAAGACATTGCATGGTAAGTAATCTTAAAAATTCACTTCTGAATCTCATGAGATTTTTGATAATCAAGTTATTATTTAATGTGTACCATTTCTACAAATACCATGTTATTTCTTCAAGGTAAAATGCTAAGAGTGTTATGTTTAATATAAAATGTCACATACAAAATAAATTAATACCATTAAAATACTCTCAAATCACAAAATACATTGTGATTAAAGTCTTCTGAGATACCTTGCTTTTTAAAAACTCATCTGAAATTATAGCAAAAAATCATTAAAATTTGGCATGCTATGCTTTAATATAATAGTATTGGTATCAAAATTTTGAAATAAAACAGGCTGATGGTGAATGAATAGTTCTGGTTTAAATAATCACTATAAATGTATTAAGTGGAGTTAATATTCTATTTTTCCTGCAGAGTATTCTTATTTAGATTATTTATTTTATGGCTCATAAAGAGCCCAATCTGTATACTAAAGTTGGACAAGCACAGTTTGACTAGTGAATATTTATTCCTTTCACATAAATGACAGTTCTATTCTGAAAACTGTATCTCCTTAATTTCATGAAATTGTATTACATGAATTTAAGGGTGTTTTGCAACAATTTTTCAGCTTTTTTTCATGATATTCTTATAAGAAGCCCATATTCCTGTGAAGACAAGGAAGCAAAGCAGAGATATCTGAGGTCACTAGATGAATATGACAAAGTAAGATTAGACTCCAGTGCTCCTGTCCTCCAGCTACAGTGCTTGTTTCTAACATAAACAGAAAAAGAAAATTTTCATGTTGCTCCATCAATAGCTTTATATTGTAGAGTAAACAAAAATGTAGCAGATTATATTTCCTATGCTACTTCTAAATGATGAGTTTCCCTGTAAAACATAACTACTCTATGTGTATGTTAAAATGTAGTACACTGAGCATTAAGGAAAAGCACTTCTATAATAACAGCCTTTGCAAGTACTGAAATGCTGATTAAGGCAAGAATATCCTACATCGATGTGAAACGAAGAAAGAGACAAACGTTATATTAAAAGATAATTGTTAATAAAATAGGTTGAATAAATAAAATACAAGCATTCCATTTAGAGATAAAGCTCAAAATCCATATCACAAGTAATCAATCAGATGATTTTTAAATGTTTTGACACATTATTTTTAATGCTAGGAGAAATGTGCATTAATTTAGTGAAAATCTCTAAATTAGCACCTATTTGTTTGGTGTTTATGGTTATTATTACAATGCCTGAAATGAAGTTTACTTAAGAAAGGGATTTGCTAAGTAAATAAACAGTGTTAACAATTTACACTATTAAGAAAATTAGCCATTTTCAAGCAAGTTATAAGCATTTAGGCATAATCAACATAAAATGCAGTGCGGGGGGGCATTCTCAAAAATAAGCTCTTTCATTCCTCTTGTGGCTTAAGATTTATATATTAAAACTTGCACAAGAAATCTCCAAAAGATAGTTAGGAGCATAAAACTAATTTCTAAGTTAAATTATGTGTATATATAATGCATACTAGTGTATCCATAAAATAAAGAGGTTGGTTCCAAAAGCTTCTCATGAAAACCAACCCAATTAGTTAGTATTGCATTCTGTGTACTATAGTTTTGAATATTAAAAGTATTTTAAAATACCTCCATTTTGCCTTTCCTTTTAGTGAAGATGATACCTGCAAAAGACATGGCTAAAGTAATGATTGTCATGTTGGCAATTTGCTTTCTTACAAAATCAGATGGGAAATCTGTTAAGTAAGTACTGTTTTGCCTGGGAATTGGATTTTTAATGATGACTTTATCATTTTGAAGTGGGGAGCTAATGGGAAGTGGCCCTCTCTGTTTCTCTTCTTCCCAGGAAGAGATCTGTGAGTGAAATACAGCTTATGCATAACCTGGGAAAACATCTGAACTCGATGGAGAGAGTAGAATGGCTGCGTAAGAAGCTGCAGGATGTGCACAATTTTATTGCCCTTGGAGCTCCTCTAGCTCCCAGAGATGCTGGTTCCCAGAGGCCCCGAAAAAAGGAAGACAATATCTTGGTAGAGAGCCATGAAAAAAGTCTTGGAGAGGCAGACAAAGCTGATGTGGATGTATTAACTAAAGCTAAATCCCAATGAAAATGAAAATAGATATGGTCAGAGTTCTGCTCTAGACAGTGTAGGGCAACAATACATGCTGCTAATTTTTCAAAGCTCTATTAAGATTTCCAAGTACCAATATCTCTGATATAACAAACTACATATAATCCATCACTAGCCATGATAGCTGCAATTTTAATTGATTATTTTGATTCTACTTTTATGCATTTAAGAGTTATTTTAATTATTCTTTTCTATAGTTTATTCTTTTTAAAGTATGTTATTGCATAATTTATAAAAGAATAAAATTGCACTTTTAAACCTCTCTTCTACCTTAAAATGTAAAACAAAAATGTAATGATCATAAGTCTAAATAAATGAAGTATTTCTCACTCATTGCAAGTATATCTTTTTGGTTATGATGGATACCCAGATGTTTACATTGATCATGACTAGGTAGAACAATACAAAGTATTTTTTTAATCATGTGCTTCACATTTGGATATTCTGAACATCAACCTTTTAGTATTACCAAAGTACGAGGTTTCCCAATTTTCAGTGGCTAAATACTGTTGTCCTCTTGGTTTCAGGAAAGGAAATAAAATGCTCAGCAAAAAAAGGGGCATGAAGTGGTCTGAAACTTGAAAAAAGTATTTGCCCCTACATAAAAACCCACTAATCATAGTTCTAGTCTGGACCCAAAATTGCAAGAAATAGAATGTTTATATCTATTAGAAGATAATTTCATTCATTCATTTGTCATTTGACAAATATTTATTTAGTGTTTATTTATTTGTCATGTACTGTCTTAGGCACTAGCATACAACGGTAAACAAAACAGACATGGTTTCTGTCTTCATGAGGCCTAAGATTTAATGGAGAAGCCAGATATTATTAATCCATAATTTAGTTTGATAAGTGCTATGTAAGCACAGCACACGATATTGCAGGAGTATAAAATACAGAGCCCTAATGTACTTAGATCAGTGCTGTCCAACAGAACTCTCTGTGATGACAAAAATGTTCTGTATTCTGTGTTGTCCAATGTGGTAGCCACATGTTCATTTATATAAAATGTGGGTAGTGTGACTGATGACTGATTTTTATCTACTTATTTTTATTTTCAATCCCTTGGTCAATTTGAACGATTTTAAAATTTAAATTTAATTTAAAACTAATTTAAATAAAATTATAAAATAAAAAATATGAATAGCCACATATGGTAGTGGCTACTATACTGTACTGAACAGTATAGTTCAATCTCAAGATGATCCAGTTGAATAAGAAACATGAGTAAGAGTTAATTAGATGAAAAGAAGTAGGAGGGTTTCCCAGGCAGGTGGTATAGCATATGCAAAGGCACTTAGTTGGGAGGGAAGATGGCTGTAATGCTAAAAGCCAGGATTACAAAAATGAATAAGATTCCATCTCTGGCCTCAAAGAGTTCATGTTCTAATGAGAAAGACAGATAGGTGAGCAAGTAATTACAATACAAATGCAAAATACTGTGAGATACAGACAGAGTAGACTCGCCTGATAGAATGAACAATTGAGATGGAACTTTAATGGCAAGTGAACTTTGCAAAATGTAGAACAGAAGAATATTAACAAATTTCTTGCATTCTGGTGGAATCAATCAAACTGTAGTTTAAATGCAGAGAAAATCAACTTTAAATAGAAAGGGATGCATTACAGAATCACAGAGAATGCTGAAGGAAACAATCTAGGAAAGACTCAAAGTCACTGAGGGAGCGATTCTCTCTTCTAATAGCAGTGGCTGCACTGACTATTATCCTGAGACTGCCCTGATCAGGAGGCAGCTGCTGTTCCAGAAACACACTACACCTCTACCATCCACCCCAGAAAACACATGTCCAGCACTCTGCCTATTGACATCTGTCAGTGCCTTGTTACTGTAACCTTTGCTAACACTAGTATGCTAAAATCACACTGGTCCACAACAATGCTTGCCCACAGAAAGGGAGAAGTGGTAGATCACCTTAATTCTGCCTTCCCATTCTCATAAGAATGCATATGATTGGCTGAACCTTAGCTGCAGAGGTGTCTGGAAAATGTAGTTTTTAGCTTGCCAGCCTATGTAATAGAGGAATACATACTAGAAGGTGGAGTGGACAGTGTCTCTGACTTCCTGGTAGAGAAATGCCACAGTGAGTATTCTTGAATATGTCCTCTTACGGAACTGAGTGAGAATTTCTTTGGGATCATTACCCAGAAGTAGAATCATAAGACAGACATAGATGAGTTTCACAAGCACAGTTTATACTCCTTCCAGTAGAGCTGAGCATTCCTGTTTCCTTATTTCCACCTCCAGTTTGGAATGATATGCCTTTATAAAAAGTTTTGCCATATTGATGTCAGGTGGTAGCTCATTGGCTTCATTTGTGTATCTCTGATTATTAGTGAGATTGATATTATCTCTATATGTTGGTCACTTGGGTATGAACTGCTTATTTATATCCTTTGCCATTTTTCTATTGGTTTTCTGGCCCTGTTGATTTTGAGTTCTTTGTATATTCTAACGCAAATTCCTTGTAGGTTTTGTTTGTTTATTTATGTATTTATGAGACAGAGCAGCTTCACTGTGTTACCCAGGCTGTTACAGTGGTGCAATCACGGCTCACTGCAGCCTGAAATTCCCAGGCTCAAGTGATCCTCCTACCTCAGCCTCCCGAGTAGCTGGGACTATAGGTGCACACCATTATGCCCAGCTAATTTAAAAATTTTTTGTAGAAATGAGGTCCCACTATGTTGCTCAGCTGGTCTTGAACTCCTGGGCTCAAGTGATCCTCCTGTCTCCCCCTCCCAAAGTGCTGAGATTACAGGCATGAGCCATCACACCTGGCCCCGTGTTGGTTTTAAATGCCACAAATATTTTCTCCCAGTGTGTCATGTATTTGCTAACTTTTTGTATGCTTTTTTTTAAAGTTAAAGGTCTTTTATTAGCATTAACTTAGCAACTTAATAATGTATTGAGATAACCATTCTAAAAAAGAAAAACTTGAAACATCTTTCTGTAGTATTGTCTCAAAAACTACAAATTGGGCAACTGACTGAAAATGCCAACTTTCCAAAGAGTACGCAATTTCACCATGGTATTTTGCTTTGTATCTTGATCCTGAATTAATAAGAACTAGTAATATAAAGAAAATTCACAGGTTAAATCAGGTGTTCAAAATAAGTTTTAGTCAAGAGATATGTTTTAAAATTATCAATGACTTAATAACCAGATTTAATTATGTGAGGGTGATGGATATACTCATTATCTTCATTGTGATGGTGGCTTCACAGGTATATATGTAGGTCAACATTTATGAAGCCATACACTTCATGTTTGTGGTAGAAAACTTTTAGAATTACAGAAAGGACTTTTAAAAGTGGGGGACGAGGGAACCCACCCTAAATGCCACCACCAAAAATGATCACTGTTGATATTTTGGTTACTAAGTTTTTGGATTTTCTAACATACTTCCACTCAGAGTACAATTCATAATTGGCATATTAATTACAACTGAGAGCAGCTAAAGCATGTACATATTAAAACAAGGAGACCACCCACAACATTACCAACAGTATTTACTTCCTGCCATATAAAAACTTTCACACTTATTTTAAGATGCCACACAAAGCCCATTATCCAACATGGTAACTTTGGTTTCAAACTCTGCCTGTCCATTGACTGTAGCAAAAACAGGCTTAGGTACTCCCGGTAAGAGAGAAGTAGGGAGCGGGGATGTAGGGAGAGGTGCTACCACTTCTAAAGTGTCTGTATACAGGGAGTCCAAACCTAAAACAGAGAAACTGACCCAGTTACAACAGAATTGAGACAACTGAGCCTATGATGACCACTTAGGTACAGTTAGTTATGTTTTGTCTGCATTAGATATCAACATTTACCTTTCTAAAGGATTTCTTTCTACATATCTTGAAAGACAGCATAGAGGAGTGATCCTGGCTCAGCCAAAGGACCTTGAGGCAAGCTGGTTCAGTACTTTGGGTCTCAATTAATTGCCATCTCTGTAAAATACAGCTTACAACCAAAACTCACTCAAGTACAGTTCATACACATAAAACACTTAAAACAGCTCTGCCCTTCAGCAGTGTCACTGAAGTGTAGGTGGAAGTCACACCCCTTATTAATCTGGTTTGAAGGCCTAGTGTCTCTTTCTCCACACTCATTTCCTGAACCTCCCACCCCTACAGGTCCCAGTCACACCGACTCTTCCATCAATTCCCAGAACACACCGGGCTCATCACCTCCAAAACTTGTGTTCTCACTGTTTCAGGGCTTTCCCTTTTCATGTGACCTCCCCTTCCTTCATTCTTCATCTCTTGGCTTAAATGTCACCTTGATAAACGGCTATCCCTCAGTCTTTCTAGGCTTTCCTGCTATTTTCTGCCACTATTTTCTGCTGCTTGTTTACTTCAAACCATTTTCATGATTGGCAATACTTTGTTCACACTATTGTCTGTCTCCATTTCCTGTGGGCAGCAACTCTCTCTGGTCACCTCCATATCCCTGAAATAGTGCTCATTATGTAGTGAAGGGTAATACATACCTGTTGCCTGAATGAATGCACCCTTGTGGGGAAAGACAGACCTTGCTGCCCGGGCAGGAAGAGCAGAGGGGACAGAAAAAGTCCTTAAATGTCAGGAATCAACAGCCGAGAGGACACGAGTTCAGCAATCGAGAACCTAGACCAGGAGCGCCCAATCTTTTGGTTTGGTTTCCCTGGGCCACAATGGAAGAAGAATTGTCTTGGGCCACACGTAAAATACACTGACATTAATGATAGCTGATGAGCTAAAAAAAAAAAAAAAAAAAAATTCACAAAAAAATCACACGATGTTTTAAGAAAATTTACTAATTTGTGTTGGGCTGCATTCAAAGCCGTCCTGAGCTGCCTGCAGCTGGTGGACCGCAGGTTGGACGAGCTTGGCTTAGATGTTGCTGTCACACGTAACAGAGCTCAGCCCCCATCAGCTCAGCCTTCTGAGGGAAAAATGCTGAAGGGGAGTGGGGCAGAGGCAGAGAGATGAGACATGGCCTCTGGAGGAGAGGTGAGGGCAGGATAGTACCCAGTAGCCGAGGAGAGGAGAGACAAATGGGACTGTGAGCCAGGGATGGAGACGCAAAGTCGTGAAGTGCCCCCATCGCCTCTGGGAGGATGGCTGGTGTCTCCAGGGGTGAGCCCGCCTGAGGACATGAGCCAGCGGAACCCAAAGATAGAGCCTCTGGAAAAACTCCAGCCATCCCAGCCCCAGGCCAAGGCCTGGCTCACCTGTGGCTCACCTAAGCCCCAGGCAGCCCCAAGAACCCGATCCCAGCAGCAACTTCGTCGCCACCAGCACCACAGCCGCCATCTTTATACTTAATTTGGATGGAC